ATATTACCATCCATCAAAAGCTTTTATTTGTAGCCTCTCCCTCAACAGTCCCTGCCTTTCTGTGGAATTGAAATAGTCTCATAAAGTAGCTATTTTTGCAAGGGCTATAAACCTGCATTATGTTTTTACAAGATCCCAAATAGGACTTCCAATCATCACAATGCTCAGATGAAAGCTGATTTGAAAACTGTGGCAGACATATATTAAAAAAAGAAGGCCATATATACTGATGATCTGAAAAAACTGCATGCACAGACACAGACAAAATAGAACACCCAGGCAAGGCGGAGCTCCAGGGCCCAGCTGAGACCCACAATCCCCTCCCGACTGCCCACTCCCTGGTCCCCCTCCACGGGCAGCCCTCAACTCCCCCTCACCCCCATGCTCTTTGCTTCCCGCTCTCAGATGCAGAGAGCCTTTTCTATTCAGTTTGCCATAACAAGTTTGACGTTTTCAAAGAATAATTTCATTAAGAAACCAAGACAGAAAGAAAGAGAGACAGAAAGAGAGGAAGAGAAAGATAAAAAAGGAGAGAGAAAGGGAAAGGAAGGAAAGGAAGTGAAAGGAAGGGAAGGGAAGGGAAGGGAAAGGAAAGGAAGGGAAAGAAAGAAAGAAAAAGAAAAAGAAAGACAAAGAAAGAAAGAGAGAGAGAGAAAGAAAGAGAAAGAAAGAGAAAGAAAGAAAGAAAAAGAAAGAAAGAAAAAAAGAAAGAAAGGAAGGAAGGAAGAAAGAAAGAAAGAGAAAGAAAACACAAAGCACAGAACTAAAGAGTTTCAGGGTACAGGCTTCTAATGCCATCTTAGCCACACTTGGCAATGAAATCTCTAGGGTGCATGTGTGCTACTAATTCATTAACAATGTGGGCTTCCCACATTTAGGGTGGCTTTATGCATTAGTGCTGGGGCATCTACTAAGACTTTGAGTCTGTCTCAAGTCTAAGTGTCACTGGGCTCCTGGATGCACATTCCTGCTTTAGATTAGCAAAGTTCAAGTTACCTTTTGGTTTTCCAAATGAGGGGAGCTTTGGGCTCATTTGCAGAGCAGATAAATGTCCTGTTAGAACTCAGAAAATAACAATGATTCCTCATAACCCACCCCTTAATCTGCCTGCATAGCACCATGAACCCAGATCCTCTTTGGGAACAGTCTTCTAGAATTGATCAGTTTTGTAACAATCCATTTCAAAGTATCTTTAAAATAATAAACACATTTCCATTCAAGAGAAGCAAGACGCTTTGCCACAAAAGCATGGTCAAATGTGACATCCCTCACTGATTTTTATCTTTAGCTTATTTGAAGTCCTGCAGGTTGACCCACGCTAACTGGTGCCGAGTTAGCTTGTGCTTTCTTGCATAAATGCATACCAAAGGAGGAGGCTTTTAGAAAGATTGGAGTTGATTACTTGACATGGGATCACATTTTATAAGGTTGGGGCTGCCTGCATCTCAGGCCCAACCAGTGACTCACTCTATAACCTTGCACTTCAAAGGATCTAGAAGTTGAAGAAAAACCAGGGCACCATTAAAAGCAAAATGCAGCTCCTGAACTCCTGGATAAGGTTATAGATTTTAAAAAAATGTGGGCACTTGCAGGCAATTTAGAGTTTAGGAGGTCGCTATGCTCTAAAATTAGTAAAGTACTCAGGAAGAGAGAATATAGGTTGACTACACTGCTAGAGTCCCATTTTCTTTCTTTCTTTCTAAAATTTTACATAAAATAACATCATATTATATTCATCTAACTAGGTTACTTGTCTATACAGTAAAACATACTCAGCCTATAAACATTTTTGTAGTTTCTAGCAATTGAAAAATGTGATCAAATTTCAACCATATAAAATTGATCTCACCTAATCACTCTAATTCACTGGGGATCCCTATAATATTTTTCTATAATTCAAATCTCCTTATTTCCATTTCTGATCCTGATAGATGGTTGCTCAGGCAATGCTGACATGTCACTAGAAATGTTGTCCTTACTTTTGACAATCAAAATACTCTGTCTGTAGAGTCTGTAAATATATTTAAACTTATTCTTCCACAGGCACAGAGTCTGTACCTCATGTGGGTTCGCTTGTAATTGGGTGATTCGACTAATGCAATCCGGATATTGAATACATAGGCACCTATTCCTTTAAACTCGGCAGCTGCAATTTCCCTCCATGAGTGAGTTGAAAACACTTTGTATTAGTAATGAACATTTCAGGGCCCTGCAGGACTAAGAAACAAAGGTCTTTCTGGGGCAAGGCCTGACTTTTCATCGATTCCCCTTTATGACCCTCACCTCTGGCGCTGTCCTTTTATGGCAGTGCTTTGAACAGGTACAGACATGAGTCTGCCCCTTGCAAGTCTTGACCCACTGCCACTACAATGTCACCTTTTATAGTTCTCAGTGTCTTAGAAATCTCTTCTCTCTCTAGGACCTAGCTAAACTCTTGTGATCAAATAGAAATGGTCGACAAGCAAATGCTACCAATAGTTTAAAAAAAGGTTCCATCTTGCACCTAGTAGATAATCTACAGTGGTTTGTCAAATTGAATTTATTGCAGTATGTCTACATTAAAACTTGCCACTCAGAAGTGGTGTGAAATTGTGTACCCAATCCTTGGCATCCTGACTGCCCTCTTGTCAGATTCTTGATTTGAGAACCTTTGTTAGCCATGTACAAAATGCGGAACTGCAGATACCTCTGTGCCACGGCAAGCTACTTTTCTGAACTCCTTTGCTCCTTAACCTCTCTTAGGAATCTTTGCCCCAGCACTTATTTTCTTCCTACTGAAACCTTTGTGTTGGATTTACCTTTTCCCCAGAACAAAGAAAACAAAACTGTTTCTGGGGAATGAAAGGCCACGTTCTCTGAGGTGATGGACTGCTCTCTTTACCAAGCCCAACTGCAAAACACTAGTGTCTAGAAGCAGAGAGGCCAAGAATTAAAACGCCAGCCCCAGGATGTTTTCTGGAGACAGCCCTTATACAGCAATAATTAAATCACAAAGAACTACTAAGAATTCAAATACAGGATGCATGGGTCATCATTTCAACCCAAAGGCCTCACTCAGTTAGAGTCCACAGCACCTTTATCTGGAAGCACTCTCAGCGACAGGAAATGCACTGCTGGGGTGCTCAAGTTCAAAGGTAAATAGGAAAAATAAAATCATAGCTGGGAAGGACGGAGAGCGATAGGAGTCAGGGAAAAGAAGACAAGGTGAATTTGGCAGAGGGTGTAGACTGATGAGAAGCATTAGCTAGATGCTTAACTCTTGTGATTAAATCGAAATCATTAATAAGAAATATTTACTATTGGTTTTTAGAAATGTCATACAGACAACGTACAGCCTTCTAAATGCAAGTAGTTAGACATAGTTATCCAACGGTAACAAGGACAGACACCCTTGGTATCTCATAATAATTCTCCTAAAGTCCAGGCCACCATGAACAAGGTTATGAAAACATCCTTTTTGTATTTTAGTGATGAACACTCATGAACTGAACGGAATTCAACACGGTCCATGTTGTATGGAACTTCTCACCATAATGGGCTGTGTTATACACTTGTAGTTCTATTTTACTTAGCACTGAGGTGGCCTCCCTTTCCCTCTCCACCTGGGATTAATCTGTCCTTCTTTTTCACTGATGTAGGCCTTCTTTGAGGCCCTATTTCTGTATTCATGACAGTTTTGTTCTTTTACTGGTAGCTGCTATGGGCCTACCTCCTACCTTAAACCCAGAGTTCAGAAAGCTCTTTCTTTTCATCTTTGCATATTAAGCACCTAGCATTCACTCAAGTAATGTCTGTAAAATTAAAAGATAATTGGTTTGCACGATTGAGAAAGAACATTTCAAGGAGACTGATGTTTACCTGAATTAATTGGGCTGCAGGAGATTTACATGGACAGATTCTTAATTGTACAGATGAAGTACAATGTACTTCGGAACTGTAACTTGTTGGCATAGCAAAAGCAAGTTGATCGTAAAATGTACTAGAATTCCATAAAAAGGGGTGCTTTGGATAAGTGCAGACAGGTGAAAATATTGCCACGTTCTCTGCTCTAAGTGGATTATGGTCAAATGAAGTATTTACAGAAGACGCCATTGGTTTCTAAATGTATCAGGAAAGTTTGGGATACGTTGAGGAGACAGCGCTTCCAGATTTGTATTTTGAACATAACTTTGAAACATACACAGGATGCTGCATAGAAGTATCCCACACTACACTGATATTAAAATGAAAATACCTTGTAATGCACTTTACCGAAAAAGCGGCTTGGTTAAATACCCTCACCGGTAAAGGGCAAAGGACCTCGGAACACTTCTGCACAGTTTCATATTTGAAATAACTCCTTGTCCTCACATTGCAGAGCAAGGGCAAGTAAGGGCTCTTGGCCAGAAGCTGAGAACAGCCTCATCACACAGAACGACATGGGGCTGGACATTATAATCATGGTGTCTGTTCACAATGGAGCTCATCTGGCCTGGCTTCTCCAGCCTTCATTATTTTTTTGCTTCATTAGAGTGAAACTCTTACACCAGGCTTCAGCTCCCATTTCTAATTTGGGATGGCATGTGTCGTCTGCTTCATGATGCTTCACCAGTACCCTAAGCCCTCAATTTCCACTTCCAGTCAGTCAAATAATTCTCATTCCTGGAGCAAATCTGAGAGATCTTTTCATAGAAAGTCATAATTGGTGGCTTTGCTGGACCCACTGAAAATTATAGAGACCAGAATTAAAAAATTAATTTTCCTTGCCGACCAACAGCTAGGATTTAGGGGACGGGCTGGTTTTCGCCTGATTTCTGACCGAGCTAGGAACATTCTTACTGTTCTTCCCTGAGGCTCTGCAGTGTCGCTGAAGGAACATCAGAGAACCAGGCAGTGGGGGGACCTGGGTCAGAGAAGGAAGAGTTACTCCCTTTTGAGGTTTGTTCTCCAGCTGGCATCTCTCCCGGTGGCTGCAGAGCAGCAGGGGACATGCGGAGGTGGACAGCAGGGTCTAGACCTACCTCGCAGCCTCTTCAGCCTCTGCTCCCGCCGCCTCCTCCGCACAACCAGCAGGAGCACGAACAGCAGCAAGACCCCCACCAGGATACAGGAGATGGTCACCAGCATCTTGAGCCCCTCGTTGGTCGTCAGCCCTTCTTCGCTTTGGACAACTGATTTAATGAGTGGAGGAATTGTACCTGAAAGCAGGGCCACGGTGTTAGATGGCTATTAATGAAGACGGCATGGTGGAGCTTTTAGGGATGATAGGTTATAAAAATCGCGGTGTGATCCTAGGGTGTCGGAGATGATGAAAAATGAAAAGAACTCTTTTTCTAGGCCCTGGCTCACTTATTTTCGTATTTATTTCCCTCCCTCTGCCTGAATTTCCAACTTATTCTATAGCGCACATTTGAAAAGGACTTCGTTTTGCGACACACTACTGAGCGCAGGCACTTGAAAGCATGAGGCCCAGGCTCGGTGCTGACAAAAGCCACATGCATCTACCCAGAATTAAGTGTTCCCTTGACTGTCACCCACACTACAACTGATAGAGACTACTTGAAAAAATTGCACATCAAAGAATGAACAAAAGGTTGGGCAAATGGACAGAAGCACGTGTGCAGGGAGAGGGTCCTAGATACACTGGCATAAAGCTCAAATCCCTTGTGATTAGGTTATTTGTGAGCTTTTGTCACAGGTGTAAGACCAAATCTACTTTAACAGCTGCCATCTAAGAGTACGAGAGCTACAGACAACTTTTCAAAGGGGACCCATCCAGGTTTCTAAAGGAGCCTACTTTTGATCCGGCATTATTAAATAGTGCTACAAAATCCAGATTATTTCGAGTTATAAGGAAACACTGAAGGAAAATGAACTCTGAGCTATCTTAAGCTGTCTTCTATCTAGATGCTCAGTACAATGGATGCAGAGATCTAAACACAGGCATCCACCTTTTATGGAGTATGTATTTTGCTACCCTCCATTATGTAAGATGCTCCACCCCACTGCACTTTCCATATACAGCAAGGGCCAGAAAGTCAGCACTTCAGGAAAAGAGAATGCAAAAATAATGTAATTTCTCTCCCAGCAAAATGGTCTTTATCCCGCATTTAGTAAGCAGAGCAGGGATAATGGAATCCTCGTTCCTCTGAGATCTCCGCTAAAGCCAAGAAGACTGTTTTTCCAACTTCAAAGTGTTTTTGTGAAAACCCAAGTCTCCAAATGCTTAGAAATTCAGGGAAAAGGCACTTACAGGATGCCCATAAGGATGGGTCTGCAAAACCAAGACAACACAAGGACAAGCAGAAACATTTGGCTAAGGAAATGGCAGAAGAAAGAGTGAGATCGATAAATGGAGGACTCTGACACCTGAGTGATACGAATGTAGGCTGTCCATCTTGGTTTTCTCAAGATAAAAAAGTTCTTCAGGCAGATGTGACAATAGAGATATTAAAGCTATCTATTCATAAGTTTGGTCCAAAGAAATCTGTAATCTCTTTCAAGGAAAATATAAACATGCAGTCTTATTTCTTACTGTCATAAAGTCATTTCATATTTCTAAAATGTAAAGGTAGCTTGCAGGATTTTTCAAAATTTGGGATCTTAAAGTGAGAAAATGATATGTTTTCTTAGAAGACAAACATTTAAAATCCGCAGAGCACTTTGTGAATTAGAATCACAGTTTCAAATTCTACACGAGTAGTTTTCTAATTAAATCATGAGCTGTGAGCATATCATCAGTGTGCACATTTAAGCTGGGTGCCCAGGCATCTGCACATATTATAGAGAAGCTGGGGACCAGAAAGTGAATATTGTAAGACAATGATCTAAAGCAAAAAAGATACTTACTACTCAAATGTATGCTGGTTAACAGAGGATTTTGATGAACCCTTAAATGCTAAGTAAAGTGTCTGGTAAGTGTCAAAGTTCTTTACTTTGTAAGATCAAATAATTCAGCCACATTATGGGGAGAGGCCAGCTTGGAAGTTCTCCTCTGCCTATGGGTGATGCTTTGTGATGGGGACACCTTTGAATGAAGTCACTTGAGTGAGGGCTATGAAATTAGAGAGAGGCAGCCCATGAAAAGCATCAGCCCCTGAAGAGAAAAGTTGTTGTCTGGGAGGGCATAGGCTATTCTGGGGCCATAGGACAGAGTCCCTGCAGAGGCTAGGGACCCCGGCTGGTGTAACCAACACTAGAAGAGCTTTCTACAAGCTCAAGGTCTTCCTACAGCCCTGAGACCCAGGCCAGAAGTGCCAGGAAGACCCTGGGCTCTGGTGGAGGAGGGTGTTGTGGAAAAATGACCTTGGACAGGAGATTTGGGGTAGGTCTGCTCTGTGTGCGAAGCAGGAAGAGCCAGTTCTGAGCCATCCGGACATTATAGGAGAAATTGATCAGATGAAAATCCCAGGCAACTTCACCTCATTAGCTCCTTGTGGTCATTTCGGTGGGTCCTTAGGTTCACAGACACTCTTCCTAGGATGGCATAAACTGTGCTCCAAGGAGCTACTTGCTGGAGCTTTAATAAAGCGGCCTCCCAAATGCACGAAGTAGAGGAAGAATCACTCTTCCAGAGGGCAACCTTTCTCTTCAAGGGCTGATGCTTTTCATGGGTTGCCTCTGTCTAATTTCACAGCCCTTAGTTTTGAGTGACTTCATTGAAAGATGTCTCCTCACAAAGCATCACCCACAGGTAGAGGAGTACTTCCAACTTGGTCTTGGTTTGGCTAACTGTCATTAAAGGGTTTCGGTGTTTCTTGGTTAAGTCATTCAACACTGTGGTCTAGCCTGACCAACAGAAGATGAATAGAAGGCTCTGAGGAGAGTTGCGCTGGAGTTCCAATTCATCCTGATGCATTGCTGCCATTTTTACCTTGCAATTAGAGCACCTAACTCAATCCTTGCTGTTCCCCTAGTGAGAAATCAGCATCAACGCGCTGCTACCGGGACCTTCTAAAGTTCCCCTACTAAGTTACAGTCAAGGACACGCTCCCTTTCAGCTTCGCTGGGCTTAGCATTTGTTCAGTTAGCAATAAATGGCCCTTGATACCAGAAAAAATGAGTGAGATTTTCAACCATTTATTTTTGGTTAACTAATGTCAAGAGACACCTCACCTAGTTTTTGGAAAGTAAATGCAAGTGGCAAGTGTGTGTGAGTTTGTGTGTGTGCACGTGTTCATGGATTTCTATTATCCTATTTCCATCGGTGACCCTGCTCCTGCCCAGAGACTAACATAAGCTCCTTTACCATGGAAAATTGTTTTCGCACATGCAGTTTAAGGGCATAATGAGTGCAAAAAAGAAAGTTGTTATGTGGATTGGGATGAGGTGGGGAAAGGGGTGGGAGACAACAAAAGCAATGTTAGCTCATAGACATCAACACAAGCACAGAACCACATGGTCAAGAGTCCTTCAGCCCTGAGAGAAATCACTCCTGCCCCATGACTCCCCACTGAGACGCCATCAGTGTCCATCAGTGTGGGCACACAGCTTACGACACTTCCTGATGATGGCAACGGCTTTGGCGACTGCTGTGTTTCAGGAATGCTGGGTTGTCTTTGTCTTGGAAACTCTCCCTCACTAAAACTGGCTTCTCCCCGAGGACCCTGTGCTCGGACACCCTTCTTGTTCTCTCTCTCCTATGCTCTCACACTTGCAGAATCCAAGCCTCATTTCATTTGAGTCTCTTATTTCTGGACACACAGTGATGGTCATCTGGATATAATGAACTAGGGAGCCCCAGACAGAGTTCACTGAATCCCCAAAGCCTAATGGGCTCCATGGGCACTGGTCATACTATGGCAAAGATGATGTTCGATGGGAAAGGGGCAGGGCCCACGTGCACATTCCCCAAGACACAAACAGGAGGGCCACGAAGCCAGCCAGCTTACTGCCGTCGTAGTTCAGCGTAGCGAAGTTGGCCTGCTTCTCCGCGCAGCCAGCGCTGTTGCACACCCGCATCTGCAGCTCATACCAGGTGGCTTCCTGCAGGTCATACAGGATGTAGGACTTGGAGAGAGAGGTCCTCTGAGCTGTGGTCCAAACCGTGGTCCCAAAGGGCCTGTACTCCAGTGTGAAGGAGGTGATGGGGCAGCCGCCGTCATTCCAGCCAATGAGGTTTAGCCTCACGCGCGTGGTGTTGATGCTGGCAAACAGCTCCTGCTCCTTTGAGAACTGGGGCTCTGCGGGAGAAGGCACATGGAGGTCAGCTCACAGGACACATGGGGAGGCCATCAGCGTCTTCACGCACTTCCCTCAGACTGCTTTCTCCAGCGAGGCCAGGAGCTCAGTTCAAGTCTGACTCACAGGCACTGGCAACTTGTCCCATTAATAGAGACTTTATGGACCAAGAGGCTTTCTCCAACTGTAATGACCTGGGTGTGTGAGGGAAAATTGCACGGGCAGAGGTTATTTTGGGGTATCTTAGAGTTCCCTAAAGAACAATGCGACGTTCACGTATGGGTTTCCTTCTGTGGTTTGCGCTGCAGTGGGCTGGGCTGACCTTTTTCCATCCTCATGTGATGAACCTGACTCAAGAGAAGACAGAGTTGGATTTGGGAAGCACCAACAGATTTTCCTCCACAACTAAACACTTGGTCTTGGAGCCCAGGGACCTAATGGATATATTTCTGCATAAATCAATCCCAGATCATTTGACCTCTTACCACTTGTTACTCAAAACTGTGGCACCGGGCACAAATAATACCCTTGCCATCTCATTACTCGCTCTCCTGCCATCTGACCCCACTCCACCTGATAGGACTCCCATGGGAGGGAAGCCTGCAGAGACATCTCCTCACCTTCTCCCTTGGCTCACACAGAGCTGCATCACCCCTCCTTCCTTCTGGAGTTCCTGGGACAAAACCTCTTTCTCTGAATATCATTTCTTTGGGGTTCATCTCCTTGAAAGTCCACATTTTAGATTAAAAAAAAATGCAACTCATTTTGAAATGTTAACAATTTACCCATCATTTTCCCTCTGAAAAGCAGGGGCTATGTGGCAATGCGGAAATGATAGGAAGGTGGGGGTATGGGCTGGCTAAGGGAGAATAGGGCCTCAAAACGGCTGACAGGGCAAGTGTCACGTTTCATGGCTATACAGCCTTGGCACCTCACGTTCACCACGCTCTTGATTTTCAAACGACATTCTTCTCTTTAACTGCAAATGAAACAATAAAAGAGAGGACCAGAACACTCTGGAAGGTCCAGCTGTCCCTCTCATTATGCTGTGGCACTGCTGAAGCCATCTGAGGAATGACAAAGTTCAAACACATAAACATAAAACATGATGGATCTTTTATGACTCCAATCTCCCCTGCTGGCTGGGAAAACGGAGGACATTTAGAAGCGACGAGAAGGCACACCTACCTTTTCCTAAGGTCTTTGCTTCTATGATTTCACTTATACGCCCTGGGCCCACTCCGTTTTGGGCTGTCAGTGTGAACTTATACCAAGTCCCACATTTGAGATTTTCCAAGCGGTAGGAACGTTCGCTGGGGCTGATTGGAAAACTCCCCCACTGCTCGCTGTTGTCCTCAGAGTACTGCAGTATGTATCCTGCAGAGAATGAGAAAGATTCACATAGCACTGTTTGCTTTCTGCGGGAAGTGGGCTGACGTTTGCATTTTGTGTGTGTAATAGAATGAACGTTCTCAGAACTGAAGAATCTTCAGAAGGAACATTTTCACTCTTTCTGACTCCAGGAAATTTAACCCAGCCTGGGAGAAGCGCCATGATGTATTGATTAGTGAGTCATTTGGGCCACACCAGACATTATCACTGCAAAGTATTGCTGGATAGTGTGGTCAAAATTAAACCACTTTTCTGCTCATTCTCTTCTAAAAGCCATATTGGGCAGCAGGGAATACTAAGTTGCTCAGTATCTGCCCCTCAGATCTTACGTGCCTGAATCCTTGAGTGCAGACATAGGCTGAAGCTGAGTTATTTTTACAAGACCTGAATCTCTGGGAAAGGGACACGTTATCAATGGGAGTAGAGATTTCCTCAACTGCCTCACTTCTCATGCACTCCTGGTCTCACAATCCATAGACACTAGGAGTAACAACTCCAAGTCTTGCAGTCATTCCAATATTCTGACAGTAACCTGGCTTCTCTTTAGTTTGAAAAATTCCTCCAACAATTCATTCCTCCACAGGACCACTGCCTCTACTTTTACAACTACTAACGATGACTGTCCACTCTTGAGCACTCACTCCATGCCAAGCCCTGTCCTGAGCCCTTTGCTTACAGGATTTCTGCAAGTCTATGGAACAGTGATGACTCTCCCATACTGAGATCCAGAGCAGCTAAGTGGTGAGTCCCACGTGCAGAAAGGAGGACACAGACCCTTCAGTCAGCCTGAAGCCCATGCTCTTCACCCCCGTGAATGCTGAAATATTCTTCCTGTTAGCTCCTTCATCCCTGTTATCTACAGCCATGTTCCTTCTCCACCCTGGCTAGCTGGCCTGGAATATGGTGTCTTTGCAACAATGGGTTGGTACCTTCTATTCCTGTCCTGTGGAGCTCCATTTTAATAAAAAAAAAAAGCATTTTTTTCCCTGCACACTACAGTGTCTCCTAAACCCAAATGGGCAGGTTTGCTGATTTCCACACTCATCTCTGATGCCTCCTTCCGAGGTCACGGTCAGTGTCTTCCCTACTCCTTTCAGCCTTCCCTCCCCACTGGACTTCTGTAGCCATAGGGTCCCTGCTCCTTCCTGAGCCTTTGTGTTCCTCATCTGACCTCCGCAAAGCTCCTTCAGTACCTGACAGGTGATATCTGTGCACCTGCTCCCAGCCACATCCCAGCCTGTATTCCAGCTGCCCTGCATATTATAGGGATTCCGCTTTCCTCCCACTTTCCACCCTTGAAGTCACCTCAAAAAACTCCTCTAATCCTTGGTGATAGGCCTGTATAGTTCCCTGTCCCCTGCTATCATCCTCAGTGCCATCAGTGTCCATCAGTGTGGGCACACAACTTACGACACCTCCTGATGATGGCAATGGCTTTGGCCACTATGGTGTTTCAGGAATGTTGGGTTATCTTTGTCTTGGAAACTCTCCCTCACTAAAACTGGCTTCATCCCGAGGGCTCTGTGCTCTGACACCCCTCTTATTCTACCTCTTCCATGCTCTCACACTTGCAGAATCCAAGCCTCATTTCATTTGAGCCCATCCCCAGATGCCCCCCGTTTTTTTCCTATAAGAAGGTTCTCTAGTCAGCCTGGAACCTTTGGTAGGCCATTTCAACAAGGAGCCTCGTTTCTCCCACTCTTTAGACTTCTGGTCATGCTTATGTTACTGGTAATCTGTGATCCACTTTTCTTCCCAGCTGTCCATAATCATTTAAGAAAGTCATTAGGCCAAGTGTGGTGGCTCAGGACTGTAATCCTGGCACTTTGGGAGGCCAAGGCACGTGAATCACGAAGTCAAGAGATTGAGACCATCCTGGCTAACATGGTGAAACCCCGTCTCTACTAAAAATAAGAAAAATCAGCTGGATGTGGTGACGCATGCCTGTAGTCCCAGCTACGTGGGAGGCTGAGGCAGGAGAATCACTTGAACCCAGGAGGCAGAGGTTGCAGTGAGCCTAGATCACGCCGCTGCACTCCAGCCTGGGCGACAGAGTGAGACTCCATCTCAAACAAAACAAAACAGAAGAGAAAGTCATTAAACTGTGATAATTGTGACTCCTACAATTTGTGCTGTGCATCTGCAGCTGGGTCCTTGTAGCTTCTTGGCAATGACTTTGTTCATCTATTAATGACTCCCTGTGCATTCCACAAGGCAGCTGTTACAAACCTATCCCATGATGCTCAAATCCATAGACACATCCTCACCACTATTTAAAAAAAAAATCACCTCACTTTTTCTTTCCTGAAAAAAAAAATGAAAAGAAAGAAAGATCTTCCCTTTACCCATTGGAATGCTGATAAAAGTCTAACAACTGGTTCTTGGAGAGGAGAAAAAAGGCTCTTATTTGTAGCATTTCTGATTTCCATGGTGAGGGAATGTTCTTAGGATGGCTGTGGCTACTGAGTGCAAAGCTGGGAAGGGATGGGGCACTCCACTCTTGGAGCCGGAAGGAGCTGATCCAGCACACCACTGAAGTCATTCTGAATTGCTCCTGACTTCTGGTTTACTTCCCAGCCTTCCTTCTCTCTCAGAAGAAAGGGTGTTCTCTGCCTTAGGAAGTCTAAGCCCCTATTCTCTCTCCCCAGCCCTGGGACCTCTTTTATGGCTCAGGCCCTCTTTCCTGTGTATCTTCTGTCTCTAGCTTAACTCCACCTACACTAGAATGATCATGTTCACTCCTTCCATATAAACCTCATTTAGGCTGCGTGTGGCGGCTCACGCCTGTAAGCCCGGTACTTTGGGAGGCCGAGGTGGGCAGATCACCTGAGGTCAGGAGTTCGAGACCAGCCTGGCCAACATGGCAAAACCCCGTCTCTAGTAAAAATACAAAAACTAGCTGGGCGCAGTGGTGCGTGTCTGTAATCCCAGCTACTTGGGAGGTTGAGGCAGAAGAATCCCTTGAACCGGAGAAGTGGAGGTTGCAGTGAGCCAAGATAGTGCCATTGCACTCCAGCCTGGGTGACAGAGTGAGACTCCATCTCAAAAAAACAAAACCTTGTTTATATACCTCAACTGTGAACTAATTGCAAAGGCTTTGTGCAAATAGATTGTTTTACATGTACACTTTAGGTCTTCTGTCTTTTATTACTTTCTAAGTCAGGACAGTACGTATGGTTACATAAATGAATGACATTGTGTTGACAAAATAAAAAAGAAACAGTATTTAGAATCTCAAAAAAGAGATGCCCAAATTTCTTTTTTCTTCCTTTCTTGCAACTGTTGATATTTCACTCTGTGAATAAGCATCCTTGGATGAATGATTTGAGTTTCAACAAATATCCTAAAAATAGATGCATGGTTTCTGTCTTAGGTAATGGAGGGACTGTTTATATGTATTTTTTGGGGAGAATAAACTAACACATACCAGTCATTTGCTGAAGATGTGTCACTTATTGGCATGTGGATCACACAACTAATCAACTCTTGTGTACAATCTCTACCTTATTACCTCTGATGGAGCTGCCCCCGTTGTCTCCAGGGAGCCAAGAAAGGGTGATGGAGGAAGACGTGGTCTTGGAGACTGTAAGCCGAGGCTGATCTGGTGGAACTAGAGAGGAAACAGTTTTTAGAAAACAAGAATTAGTTTTTTCACATCTTTAATTTTCCTGAACAGTCATTTACCAACTCATTTTTAACAGCCACTTATTAAATAAGTGTTTTAGATTGCCAAAATAAGCAATTCACTTCTGTCAAAATGTCTATTTAGTTGATATCCTGGGCTAAAGAGCTAGAACAGAATTTTTTAAAAAAATCAGCCACATTTCTTCTTGGATTCATATCTAACGCATTTCCTCACTAGTTCCTTGACTGTCTGAGTTATTCATCACTAATTGAAATCTTCTTTAAACTTACTAAGTATACATGCCTCATTTTACTATGAATTTCTGCCATGAAATTTAAATGGAAAAGATAAATGGCATCCACTTAGCAGTTCTGTTCTTCTCAGGATGGGAAAGGGGAAGGAGGAAAAGTAGCTAGTGGGAAAAAGAGCTGGAAAAATCTTCACTTTCTAAGCTATTCCTCCAAGATGCAACACACACACACACACGCACGCACACACACACACACCCCTCTGAAAATCAAAAGCAGGCCTTTGAACTGCAGAACATGAACTGGTCTCTCTTACAAGGCTTGTAGAATACATACTGGTAAATAAGTCTGGACCGGTTCTGAGGACAGAAACACTAAATTCAGAATCAGGTTATCCAAATCATATAGAAAGCTTCATATAAAGCTTCATATAAAATTCCCTTCTATTTTCCTCCGAGAGAAGCCTGATATATTGGCCTATCTCTTTAGAGTCATAATATAGTGCCTGTCTTCCAAAATGCCCTCGAATTATCCTGACTTCAATTAACTTGAAATTCAAGATCAATTTTGCAGTATTTTTAGAAATATAGTCCTTTTCCTTTCCTTCCATCCCACTGAGAACAGTATTGATTTTACTTTTACTTGCTGTAATCTATTAATGTGACAACACCTAAATCCAAAGAGGCACACACTTTGATTTTTCTACTAATAAAATATTGCTGTGCATACAAATCTGAACTCAATCAGTTATTGATCGGGATTTACACAAAATTTTAATATGACAATCTTTTGAAGTTGTGCACATTTTGTGTATGATATCAAGAAAAATACTTAGTATTAAATACATAGCTAAATATTATAGAAATCTAGTTAGAGCTCCAGTCACTGTCATTTTATAAAGTACATTGCATATAAAAATGGGGTTAATTATCATACGAAAAAGACCACAATTCAGACTTGTTTTTTGTTTGTGTTTTCTGGGGATACACTTACACATATGTAAACAGTGCAATTAATGGAAATTAAGAAGGACTTTTTTAGACATGCACGCATAAAGGAAAAAGAGACTAGGCATTCTGTATGCAAAGATGTTTTGTATCTTGGTATTTCTGAGGCTGTGAATGCTTTTTATTTTCTTTGATTTGTTTACATTTTGCAAAATGAACATGTGGTTGTTTTCTGTAATATGAAAACAGAGATTAGCGCTTTATAAGGGCTGATTTTAAAATGTGTTCAATGTTACCCTTTGCATACAAAGTGTACATGTAAAAGATATCATTAAAAAGAGTCCTCAGATGTTGTACCTTGTACTTGTAAGTTTAAAATAATTTCATCAGATCCCCAGTTGTTATTGGCGATGCAGCTGTAATAGCCAGAGTCTTCTGCTTTCACTGTGCGAATAATGAAGCTTCCGTTGCTAAAGATGCTCCTCCGCCCATCAATCGTTACTAGACTGGGTGTCCCGTTACTGCCTCACAGGAAGAAAAATGCACAGATTAAAGAAATTACAATCCAAATTAGCTGAGGTTGGGGAAAAGCATAAAGACTCTCTGTGAAGCAAACAAGACGTCTGAAAGCTTCATATTTCTTGCATTATGAAAGAACTAAATATGATTACATAATGAAAACAATCAATAGCTGTGTAGCTGAAGGTTTCCTTTGTAAAAAATGTTATGCTGAAGACGAGATCTGCGTCAAGGGCCCAGATTCTGGCTCAGGTCAATGGGCTCCTCATCCATGCCAGAGACTGATGGGTCCTTCTTTACTCCATTCTGTGGGCACTGCAGATCTCCTCATTTTGGCAATTCTGGGAATTTCTTCTGTAGGCAGAAGCGCCAGTTTGAACAAATCATATAGGGGAAACTAAACCTTGGGATCATTTTCAGATTCACTGAAAGTCACAATTATTCATGATTTTGGCATGAAAAATGACATGTGATGTCTCAAGAGGGTGATGAGTTTACCCCAGTATGAAAAGAACTGCGTGGCCATCATAACCACTGCTCCAGTGGCAGACTGTCCAGTCCTCTGGGGTCATTCCCACAATAGGCAGAATGCCAGCTTGGCCTTGGGAGCTACGTATTTCATTTGGATGAACCAACTTTAAATGCATGAGAAAAGTGGTCACTAAACCAAGCCATTATTATTTCTACAGTTTGGTCACTACACCAAGCCATTATTTCTATAGTTTATGCCTTCTAAGTGCTTTTGCTTGAAAATAGGCTTTCTTCTGAATCCATTATATCATATTTCTATGCTCATAAATGAATTTTCAACCCTTTACTTATATCCTAATTTCTTCTCCTGAATAGAGATAAAGCACTTTAAAAAGTTATATGGACAGACCACATCTCACTCTCTCTCTCCCTCTATCTCGGCTCCTATTATTTTAATAATTACTATTGAGTATGGAGAACCAGATTTTAAATTAGCAAAGTCCTAATGTACTCCATTTCTTAAAGTCCTTTCTCAAGGTATTTGAGTTATGGTTAGTTCGCTATCTTTAAAGAAGAAGAGATAGATGTTAAGTCACACAATAACCTTGGGTACATTCATCTCAGTTACATGGACAATTTATCTGAGAGGGTACAGCAAACGTGCACAATAATTGAGTTGGTTCGACCATTTTCCTTGCAAGCATTCTCTCATGAATTAAAAGGCTCTGAATTAACAGACGGTTGATACAATAAATCAGACCCTTTCAGTGCTAAAGCCGAGATTTCTTCCCTGCCCTCATCTCAGAAGAATTGGTAGGTTTCCTTGAGTTTTCACTAATATAAACAAACACAAAATTAGAAGACCACTAGACCCACCCTAAGTACGTCAGATGTAATCTCTCAGAGTTTCACTGAAGGCATACATTGGGTTACTGGTTACCTGTCTTTCATCCATTTGACCGCAGGAGAAGGGTCCCCAACAGCCTTACAAGGCAAGGCAATGTCTTTCATCCATGGGGTAGTCACTGTCCCACTGAAGGTCAGGATTCGCGCAGGAGCTGAGGAATCAAACCAAGTGGACGCCTGATTACTCCACAGACGCGTCTGCACAGAGGCCAACGTGACCTACTCAATAAAGGCAATACCCAAAAATGGATGTGAAGCCAAGTCACATTACAACTGTCCACGCTACTCCCTGGTACCTGGGTTATGAGGAATTGTCATTGTAAGAACACACAACTCGCAGAAAATTCCCATTGTAGCATTTGTTTTTCTTTTATTGACTAAACATGAGGAGTCCAAATTAAATATGTGGGGCTTCATAGGCCAAGCAGCTCCAAGCTGTGTTTTCTATGAGCCCAATTACTTCTCAAAGCACTTTATGAAGCAATTTATCTCAACACAAAAACTGCTCATGAAAATATACTTTAATATCAGAGGACGTAGACAATACAAAACACAAAGGCCCCAAAGACGGGAAGGAGTAAAACTGGAACAAGTTCTACTTATCAGTTTCCCGACTGTGTTATAGCAACTTGATCTCTAGGACACACATTAAGGAGAATGAACATTTTCAGAGTGGCCTCTCTCGAAGAACAACCGTTTGCTTGGGACAGTGATTCAGATGCCCAAACAGGAGCATCTGCCAGGGGCATCTGGTGCTGGCACGGCCCCAAGGTAGCAGGAAGTCCCAGGAGACAAGGAAAAAAGCTCATGGTGAACTTGCCTTGAAGTCCAGTGTGGCCAGCAATGAGAGGTTCTAGTACTACCTCCATCAGTGAGTCACAAAAGCTGACAGGGACGCCACACGCAAGTCTTCTAGAGGAAAACAATCTGCTCAGTCTGTGTCATACATTGGGACATTACTTTCTGGGGCATAAACAGGAGCCAGGGGCTTCTCCTGTCCTTTGTTTTAGCCAGTATGTTTCAGACACTGTCATGGAGCTGGGGACATAGAGGAAACAGGTGCCCCTATGGGAGCTCACCCTCAATAGATGCACAGACCAAAAACCACAGGTGGCAGGCAGCCTTCATCTGATTCAGAGCCCATAAAAATGGGGCCAATGTGAGACCCCTGCACCATTTCTGGGTTGAGGGTTTGCACTGGCAAAGGAAGGTGAGAGGGCTCCCCCAGGGAAGCTCTAGAATCCCAGGAAGGGCAGAGTACCCGGAGCCAAGTCATTATGCAGCCATCCTAGTATAGAATACCCACATTAGTCACTAGGATCTACCAGATCAAATCAGACATTTATGCTTCTGGGCACTGTGAGCAAGAGTAGAGAGAAAAAGGAAATGCCAGAGGGCTTAGAAGCTAGACCTTGTTTTTTGTTGCAGCAAAACCCATGTTTCAAGCAGTTTCCGCAGACTGAGATGAAGTATTCTAAGGCAGGGCTCATTTAATCAGTCATTGACATTGCTGATTTTGCATCATGATAACAAAAAGGTCCTGATTAGGCAGCATCAGATTTCCCGCACTGGTAGCTTTTGGCATTTTCTTTTTCACACTCTTCAGACAGTTCTTTAGAGAGTGGAGAATGTCCTCAGCAGTAAAAGGCGGGTGGCTAGAGAAATTCAGCTAGAGTTATGGGCTTTCTGGCTTTTTAACAGTCAGCCACTTTAAGAAATATGTTTTACATCAAATTCCAGAAGCTACACATGCATTGGGATGTTTGTGTGAGTGCAAACAAAGTTGCCTGAATAAAGACTTCACTATATGTGATGCATTATGATGTTTTCTACCCTTTCTTAACCCTAGTTTAGTCTAGTCTAGTTGATTTGACTCTGTTCCATTCTATTCCATTGTTGTTCTTTAACATTCTGGGCATAACCCCTCCAATTAACTCCAGGACTTACGAATGCTTTTCCATTAGCAATTTTAAAAATACAAGCTAGAGCTACTTCATCTTCAAGCCCAACAACCTCCAATGCTATAGCTCAATGCCCATTTTAGACAGTTGAAATTTAAAGGGTCTCTAGCCAGAAATGTCATGACTGGGCAACTCAACACACTAGACCTGGGGCAGCCAAGAGAATCCCCTAGAATCTTTGTTTAAAATGCAGGTTCCCACCACGGCCTTGTGGATTCAGCAGCTCTTTCATGTGCTTGGGGCATCTACCTTTTGACAAGTATCCCAGGTGATTCTGATGAGAAACTGAACCCCTTTGCAACCTGGTGTCCCCTCTGATTCGGGTCCTGTTTGTTCTCAGCCATGGGGCCAGATTCTCTGTGCCTCGTTCGTGTCCTGGACCCCTTCCTAGGAGGGGCTTCCCCCAGGACCAGTGCCATGGCCCCATTCTGCCACTCCCTCCATAAAAGCAGTGGTCCTCCTCTTCTTCAATCTATATCTGAATTTTGGACCCTGTTACCTGTCGCTAGACTGCTGCTGGTCTGCCTTGACTTCCAAACAAGTACAGAATAACCTGTCTCAGTCTCCTCTGCTGTGGACATCCCCACCCCTCTAGGATGGGCCTTTCAGCCTTAATGGTTTGCCAGCGTCTAGGCTTCTGGGTGGGGACTGCCCAGTTGATTATCTGCTCCATCCTGGGGCACTCCCTAGCTTATCCCCTTTCCAGAAAACCTACCTAAAGCAACCCTAACCCTGAGTCAACCTCCCTTAAGCATGAAAAGTTGAAACTTTCTGGAAAAAATCCATGCAATAGAGTACTTGGAGATTGACCACCATTAAGGATCACCAACCTCAACTGAACTGTCAGTACTTCCTGCCGGTCTTACTGTTTCTTTAGTAAATGTCCTCCCCGTTCCCTGCAATGATGGCTTCCTATTGTCCCTCCTCTTCTCACACTTCTGGGCTGCCCTCCACCATCCCCAAGTTGCCTAATGCTTCAGGGACACCCCGTTCCCTGCAATGATGGCTTCCTACTGTCCCTCCTCTTCTCACACTTCTGGGCTTCCCTCCACCATCCCCAAGTTGCCTAATGCTTCAGGGACACCATCCAGGAATCCTGCATTTCCAGTCACCAAATCTGTGAACCTACTGGCATTTCCTCCTCTAAACCTCAGAGCTGTGGTCATGGGCTCTTTCTTATGTATTGTTGACTTCTCCTTTCTCCCTCTCTACTGGGATCTTCCCATTACCATACAAACATGCTCTCATGGCAGGCCTCATGAAAAAACAATGAACCCAGAGCCTTTCCTCGAATGAGACCCTCCCACACCTCCAAGCTTCTTCTCTTGGTTGTCACTTCTTCCAAGTGGATGTGTGTTGAAGGAATGTTCTGCCCAGTCAGCCTGCCCCTCACCTCCTACCCACTTTCTCACCTGACTCAGGCTCATTTCTGCTTGCCCCTCCACACTGACAGCACTCACAGAAAGGTCACCACGGTCCTCCACGTGGCCAAACTGAGGGGCATTTTTGCCTGGTTTCACCTGACTTTCCAGCAGCAGCAGCCTCAGCTGACCGCTCCCTCCTTTTGCAAGCACTTTTTTTGAATCTGCAGCTTAACACCCTCCTGGCTCCCCTGCCTGTCTGGCTTTCCCCCTTTTCCTTTCCCTGCTCCCACTCCCTTTGAGAGGCCATCCTGTACCTTCATCTCTCCTCCATCTCTCAGCCAATCTCATTCCTATCCCAGGTGTAAGGGATACCCAGATGCTGACCCCCCTGAATTTCTGCCTCCTTCCAGATGTCTCTCGAGAGCCAGGACACACCTCAGTGCATAGACGCCTCTGAGTGAATGGCTCTTTGTCATGTTGGAACCCCTCCAAATGCCCGTGCCTCCTCTCACTGGCTTCAAAATCCACTTCTTCCATGGTCTTCTTCATCAGTAAATCATGCCTCCACTTATGCTAACCCACATGAGAATTTGGGTTTTCATTCTTGCTATCTCCCTCTCCACCCTCTTCCATTTCTGCCACCGAGTCTCCTCTGCTCTGTGTCCACAACACAGCCCAGGCCCCTCGGCTTCTCCTCTCAATCCTCTTTGCTACTCTGCTACTCCAAGCCTCACTGGGTGACCCCTTGGCCTCCTTGCTGGGCATCTGCTTTTCTCACCCTTCCCCCTCTGCAGTCCATTCAGGACAGAGAGATCAGGGTGGTCTTAAAAAGCACATCCACTATTGACTGGGCGCAGTGGCTCACGTTTGTAATCCCAGTGCTTTGGGAGGCCAAGGCAGGCAGATCACGAGGTCAGGAGATCAGAACCAT